AATTGATATGGTAACATTATACACAGATATATGTGTGAAATATATTTTACATTAAGTTTTGAATATTAAGACATTCATAGTTCAGTACATGTAAATACTGTATAACAACGTAATAGCATAATAAAGAAATAAATTCTGATGCAATTCTCTTATATCAGGAATATTATTACAACACAAAGGTTTTATTTATATTTTAACCAGTTCTGATAAAATTAACTTTAAGTAAGTGTCTGTTCAGAAAGAGATTTGATGTGTCGGAAAACTGTTAACCAAATATTTCGATTTTTAAATAATTCCTTTAAACTTATGGTGTAGAATGGAAACACAAATTATACATAAGTATATTTAATTTTTGCAATCAAAATCTTACATTCGTTCTTTTTTTGAGTTGAAAATGTTGTCACATTTAAAAATGAGAAATCACATTAACCAAAATAGCGTCATAAACTCATAAAGTTATGTAGCTCGCTGTCTCACTGTTGCGGGCTACGTGTTACGTGTGCAATACTAAAAAAATACAAAAAGACCGTTCGTGGGCTATGGGTTCTCTTTTTGAACAGAATTTATTTTCTGTAAATAACGTAGCTACTTACTTAATAGTTATTTCTATTTAGAAATTACAAAAAAATGCAGTTAAGTAGCGAAAGAATCACAGTTATATTAACTATTTCATTAAATTTACCAAATTCATCTTCAGTGTAAATTAGGAAGCATTTACTAAATATGTCAGCATTTTTAACTATAGTAATATTGTTAATTGATATTAAAAATTTATTACATTGCATTAAGAACATTTAATGTGATAAAAAACCCATATTTTGCCTTAAATTAGAGAACAATCGTTTTCAGGGGCAAGGAATAATGCATAAATAAAAAGAAGTCGTTTGTAATATTCTATTTTTTGTTATATATCGGAGCTATGGTCGAATATAATGTAATTTCTAAACATAAATGTACGAAGAAGAAGTTGTGAAGAAAAAAGAATTACATTATTTTTGGGAAGTAATCTGAAGTCCTTAGTTTATGTGGAATGTCCTACACGCGTTAAATTAGGAATATTTGTCTCAGTTTGTTCATCAACGTATAACTTTGAGAGTCACTTTTAATGTTTCGGGATTATACGAATATGTTATTAAGTTGTACTTTAATTAGTTTGATTCATTACCGAAATAATTCGGAGAGGTGTTTGAGATATAACTTATTTTAAAAAATGAAAAATATTTGATCACCCGTATCCTCTAAAATACCCAACTAAATATAATTTAATCGTCGGATAAGGTTATGCATATTACCATATATATATATATATATATATATATATATATATATATATATATATATATATATATATATATATACAGTCAGGTCTGTCAAAAACTTTTTATAAAATTAATGATAAACTTTTTGATAATTATATAGAAATTATATATGAAATGAAAGGTAGTTTAATTAAGAATACAATTTTATTTACATAATTCAAAATGCTCTCCCCTATTTTGAATATATGCCCTTAAACGACGCGGCCAATCATCAGTCGCAGCACGCACCACACTCATATGTATTTCTGCCGCTGCTTTAGCCAAAGATGTTCGGAGAGATTCCAAATTCTGATAAGGTTTAGGGGCAGACTTTCTCCTCTAAATGTTGCCATATCCTATAATCCAGTGAGCTTAAATCTGGACTAGAGGAGGGCCAGTCTTCATGTCCGATAGAGCCAATTCCATGGGCAGTCAACCAGTTTTGCGTGCCTCGTGCCCTATGAGCTGGTGCAGAGTCCTGTTGGAATATCCAATGTCTGTTTTTAAACATTGTTTGAGAAAAAGGTTCCACTATGTTTGTTAAGACGGTATTTTGGTACACCTCGGCACTGGTTTTTACACCTTTTTCACAGAAAAACACCTCAGTTAAGCCTTAATATGAGCCTTCAAGCCAAACCATGAGTGACGAAGGCTAGTGTGCTCGTTGAACCCTCGGAATACGCGTGCTGGCTTCTTCACTGCTGTGGGCATACACCTTATCATTTTGTTTATTATAACTTTTTTCTATGGTAAAAAATTTTTCATCCGAAAACAAAATTTCGCGGTATTTTTCTCCCGCATACCGCCGTAACAAAGCGCGGGATCTAACCAGCCTAATTTTTTTCAAACGCTCGTTCAAAAAACATCCGGTCTTCTTACGATAAGCTCGTAGTTCTAGGTCTTCATTGAACACTCTTTTGATCGTGACCTTGGTTCTGCTTAAACACATTTGAAGAGCTAATATTTTTTGTTTACGAACAGGATTTCGTTCGATTCGCGCCATCACTGCTTTGATGATCGCGGGTGTCCTAACTTTACGAGGTCAGCCGGGCCTCTTACGATCTTCAAAGCTAGATTCTTCAGTGAATCGTTTGATGGTGTGATAAACAAATCGTAAGGTTATTTCCAATTTTGGTAGCATATTGAAAATCTCTTTTGGCGCGTAACCACAGCGGTGCAACGCGACAACCGCTACTCTATCTTCTTTCTTCGACCACTCCATATTTGAACATGAATCAAAATTAATGTCTATTTTATTTTCGGCAATTACAAACGTTTTATTTTTAAAATTGGTGAAGTTCATCTAGTGAGTATTCAAATTATTGAAATAATAAGGTTTTGACAGAACTTATGACCCGACTAAGAAATTATATATATATATTGATTTTTAATTATAAAATATTATGTTATATTTTTGATTTGATTGAATTGAGTTTGACCGATAAAAAAGGCAATAAAAGCATCGATGTTGGTATTTTTCGAGGAGGCAGAGGAGCTTCCGGAAGCATTTCCACCGGAGCAGTTCCATCTTTGGAGTTCTTTATTACACACTGTTCCAACCCAAGCTGCTACCAATTTAATTGAGTTCACTTCTTTCTGTTTTGTTTTCTCGAATTTTGTGTGATAGAGTCTTAAATATGTTTAAAAATCCTTGAAAATTAAGGTATGCTTTTAAACGCTTTGATTTTCCTTTAGAGAGATTTTACCTCCCCCCTCGATTTAACATGTTTTGAGACTTTACAATAAACGTTAACCTTTTTCCCGAAAATTCTGCACTTTTTCTCTACAGACATTAGCCCTCACTCTCCTCTCTGCCCAACCCATTTGTTTTTATTAGTTTTATAAATATGTTTCCAGAAAAAACTTGATGAGAAAGAAAATTAAACTATCCTTAATTTTTTTTTTTTAAAGTAGATAGAAACATCAAAAAACCTAGATCACTAAGCAAACAACGTAAATAAATGTAGATATGGACAAAATTAAACAATATTTTTGTGTTGTTTTTAATCTTTTGAAAAATAATTTTTAAATGCCCTAAATTGACCCTAATTTATTTAATCAATAATTAATTGGCACCTTTGGTCGTAGTTTTAGTAAAGTTATAAAAATACAGAATTTTGTGCCTTAATGTAAAAAAAACTTGCTAAATTGAATGATAGTGTCATTGACACTCAGGAAATATGAATTATGCAGTCTGCTATATAAAAAATAATATAGTTTATATATAATAAATACTTTATATAATAAAAATAAATACTTTGGAATGTCATGTCAATAATCCCTTTTTGTAGCGAGCCCTGTTGGGATGGAGCAGAATGGGGAAAGAAAGAGAAATTTACTCAAAGAACTGTTGAATAGTTTTGAAAGAAGACGAAAAGTGATCAAATTTTTAGAAAAATGTTTATAAGTATTTAAATTAGAAATTGAACTTCCTTATGTTTCAAGAAAATATGTCCATATTATTACAACAATTAAGAAAGTTGTTAAGAAAGTGAACAGATATAATGAAACACGAATTTTAGAAAAAAACCCTTATTAACAGAAAATTGACATATTTTTTTAGGATCAAAAACAAAATATTTGAATGCAGGTTTCGTTTTTATTATGAGGATAAAGTCCTTTCCGTCCTTGGAGCATATTTCTCTCTTATTACTAACATTTAATTTAAAATACTGCCCCTTCACAACACGTCTAAAATCCTCTATCATTTAGATTTAAACATTTAGAAATATGTGACAAGATTTCGCGATTGCAAATAAATAATAATATTTCATTGGTATAAACATTAGAAAACTACTCTAATAAAATATAAATATATAGTTACATATAGTCAGCATTGCTAAGATTTCATATTTAATATAATATAATTTTACTTTATTAACGATCGTTTTATTTCACTTTAACTAACGCAACGGTAAAAATAACAAAAACCATAATAAATTAATTTGAACAATGATTTCCGGTCTAAAAGATGTATCTTAATCACACTTACTACGATTTATCAATCACCATGATTTTTTATCCTATATCCAAAATCACAACTTTGCATAATTATCTAAATTAAGTTAAGGTCTTTTTAGTATACATTATCTAGGTCAGATAAGAATAAGATAAAAAAAATTATAGCTTCAGTTACGGTTTTAAGTTCATAGAGTTATATAATATTAGATAGTAGCTTATAAGTTCGTTAAAAATTTTAAAAGGTAGGTACCTATAAATAAATACACTTAAACAATGCCATTTAAATTTACTGTGTTGGTTTGTAAAATTTAATGAAATAAAATACTTAAAACGTCCTTAAATTACTAAAATGGTTAATCATAATTCTCATCAGAGTCAGAAAACATTATTTAAACTATTATACAAAGTTAAATAATAAATTGGAATGAATATTATCAACATTACTATATAGAATTTATATATAGACTATGAAATCTTAGTCAAAAATCACAAGCACAAGGAGACAAAAAGGAGATTCACTGTCAAATATTCAGGAGGATAAACGTTAAAGCGATAAATTTATAGACATATGGCATCATAAGAATCTAAAACGATAACACTATCATCAAATAGCAATCATCAGCAATACAGTAATTCGCTTTAAAGTTAAGAAAATTTGTCTTAATAACAAACAATGACAATATATTCACCACACTAAAGCAGTTGGTAGCAATTAATCTATAACCTAAGATTTATCAAGCTTTACATGGGAGTTGATAACTGATGCCGAGACCGGTCCAAGCCAACATCCACTGTCACAACCTTACCATCGACAGGTGTACCACTGTCCACTTCACTGTCTGGTATAATCACACACACGAAAGATTTCCCAGTAGTCACGTCCCTTGGATAGATCGTCATTGGAATGAATCTATCGCTCGTTCCATCGACATACGCCCCTAGACGAGAATAAACTTCCGGAAAATGCTTCTTTAACACAACTCCTCGATTTTCTAATTCATGCACTATGTTTTTAAAACATATTTCTCTAAATTTATGTGCTGTAGCAGCATTCTTTTCGCCAACATTGCTCATTTTTGACGTCAGTATGAGCGTTTCACGATCGTCTGGTGTTCCTCTGCTGTCTCTTCGATTACGTTTTCGATTCTGTTCTTGTATGGTCGCGGTTACAGTTTTACAGAGACGTAATTTCGCACACCTCGATACCATCTGTCGTTCCCATTTCACCGCTCCTTTTGTTGGAACTTCACTTATTATACACACAGCAACATAAAGGATTACTCTTGTTTCAGGGTTATAAGATTTACAAAGCTTCACTACTTCCGTATACAATTCAACACCCATTTCATTTGGTTGCAGTGAGATCAATTTCACATATTCCGGTTCACTGAGGTATTGATAGCCGTGCGTCGTAAATTTCTCTGCAGCTTCTGGACTAGTGAAAAACACTTTTACTACACCCCGGCCTTGAGCCAAATATCCCTTATGGCCAATGGTGCTGATTTGGTGTAAGGAATCTGCGTCTTCTTTAGCTGCCGATATGATTTGCCTACAAAGTGCGCTCGCTCGTGAGTGCAAGCAGACCTTTCGGTGTTTTTCCCAATGTGCTCTTCGACATTCTTTCGAACAATACATGGTTGTACAATTATGACATGATTTATAATGTCGTTTGGCATCTGATACCGGAGCACGGGACGAGCATTTAGGGTATTTGCATTTGACAAATGCGTCGTCAGTGCTGTTTTCTGTTTGCAAGGAGAGGAGGGAGGCACGGGATTCATGATGGGTCAAACGGGGTTCTGTGGAACGTAAAGCTGTGGGGTCGAGACTAGTTCGACGATCTACAGAAGCGCTGCGGTGAGCGAAGGGTTCACTCTTGCGTCGCGAGTGATCGCCTTGCGCTGACCGCGGACGTCTTGATTCTTGCATTGTGGATGAATTATCAACTGTTTCCTTGCCTGTAAGTAAAATTCCATTATCACTGCGACAAATGAATTATTTTTCATGGACAACAAAAGACTCAGGACCATTAAACGAACAAATTGATATGATAAGACGGTCATGCTTTGGCAAACGGGAGATCCATACAACTTACAATCTGGAAACATGCACTCGTGTAAATAAATATAATTATTCGTTTGTAAATAAAATTTATAATAATATTATTGTCAGTAAGAAATCAATCGGTAGATTTAGAGTAGGACAGAATAACAAAGTCACAAGCGTGGAGGTAAGATAGATATAAAAATTGGAACGGCTCAGACTTACATATCAATCCTACCTTGTCGATCGTGATCGGGGCTAGGATCGGTGAAGGAGCTTGGCTCTTCACTAGGTGTGCAGAAGTATCGGGACGCTGGAGATGCGCTGCTATGTCCACTACTAGCCAGTAGCTCGTAGCGGGGGCTCTGAGAAAAAGCGTTACTCTACGAAATTTCAACTAATCAAGCTTTACTTAACGGGGAGCGATTAAAGCAATGAGTTATATAATATACCTAATCAGGTCATAAATTCTGTCACATGTTTAATATAAAATAATTGAAATAAATTTATTCATTATGTAACCATTTATATACCAAAATGAACTTAACAAAACATAGATTCTTATGACACTAAAGTTTATTCAAAATGAACTCCGTGATTTTGAATACAGGCTTTCAATCTGCGCGGCCAGTCGTCTATCGCAGCACGAACGAGTTCCATGTCAATATCGGCGGCTGCCTTATTCAAGGATGTCTTGAGTGACTCCAAATTGGGATGAGGCTTTGAGCACGCCTATTCCTCCAAGTGTTGCCATATCTTGTAATCTATCGGATTCAAATCTGGACTGGAGGAGGGCCAGTCTTCGTGCCAGATGAAGTCGATTTCACGCGCCGCCGGCCAGTCTTGTGTGCTCTTCGCTCTATGAGCTGGCGCCGAATCTGGTTGGAATACCCATTGAACATGGTATGAGAAATAGGTTCCACAAGGTTCGTCAGGACTGCTGCATTCGTTTTTACACCTATCTCACAAAAATGTACTTCTGTTAAGCCCCAATAAGAAACTCCCAACCATACCATGAGCGAGGATGGAAAATGACCTCTTTGGACACGCGGAATATGGTTGGTCGCTTCTTTACTACTGTGTGCTTTTTTTTAAAAAAAAGTACACCTTATCATTTTGTTTAGTTTAGTACACCTTATCATGTTGTAGCTCTCTTCTACGGTAAAAAATTTTTCATCCGAAAAAACAATTTCCCGATATTTTTTCCCGCGTATCGCTTCAACAAAGCGCGGCATCTCTTCAGTCTCAGGTCCATTAGACGAGAATTCAAACGATGTCCTGTTTTTCTTCTAAGTCTTCATTTAACACCCTTTTCACCGTGGTTCTGCTTAACCCCATCTGAAGGGCCAACAGTTTCTGCTTACGTTTGGGATTTCTTTGAATTCGCACCTTTACAGCTTTTATCACTGCTGGAGTCCTAACCAAGACCGAGGCGACCACTTCTTGACCTGTCATCTACACTAGAGTCTTCATTGTATCGTTTGATGGTACGATAAACGAATCTTTTGGTTATATTCAAATTTTTCAGTATGTCAAAAAATTTGAATTGACGCGGAACCGCAACGATGCAACGCAATAACTGCAACACGGTCTTCTTTAATAAGCGTCCACTCAATATTTAAATATGAGTAAAATTCTAAAAAGTATACAGTTTTATTTTCATGAACAATTCGAAATTCGAATTCAATAAACTTTTTTGTGGCCAGCATTCTTAAAGAAAAGTTTTTACTGTGTGACAATACTTATGACCTGACTGGATATATATATATATATATAAAATGTATAATATAATATGATATATATATATTATATCTGATATTACACGTTTTAAAGGTTTTTGGGCTACGTAAGATAATTTATTTTTTAATTAGCTTGATCTTATTAAAAGGCATTTATGGTTTCTGATTTTGGTATAAATTAAAAGGGTTTCATTCAATACGAAATATTTGTGATTTACCTTCCCTCCCATAAAATAATAAGGACTCTTCCTGGGACTAGGCTGCGGTGTTGATAATCTCGTAGGTTGCGAAGGTAAGCCCAATAAGGAATCCAGTACGTCTTCTAAAGTTGTGGAACCGGGTGACGGCCTTGTCGATTCAAAGTTCAATGGGCGTTGGGATTCTTGCCAGTCTGGAAATAGGTTCTTAACTTATTATGTCTTTATTCGAATAACAATTTTAATCCAATAATCGGAATCTATCAAATAGGGAGAGAATATACAATCTATCTATCTATCTATATATATATATATATATATATATATATATATATATATATATATATATATATATATATATATATATATATATATATATATATATATATATATATATATAAAAGTGTCACAGAGGCACTTCTCATTCAACACAGCACAATCTATCAATTACCATAGAAAACTATAATACATACATAATAGAACGGGGGAGTGGGCGGCGCGCGTCTCGCGCTTTTTTGCTCAGCGAAGTTAACCAAGTTGACTTTCTACAAGCGTTAAGCTAACAAAAACTATATAAATGAATTAAATCAACGATAAGTCACCTGACTAACGTTGAAATATGTCATTACCCTTCGTTTCTGTTGTTTTCTATCAGCGTGAACTCTCTGCGTGACCAATATTAGAAAGTGAAATTGGCTTATCTTATAGTAAAGCTAGCAAGACTTCGATGACGATATCGACGTCGAGACGCTATTAGTCAACTTTTTGTGCGCGGGTTGTACTTACAATTTTTTTTTCTTGATAGTGTGGGTAGGCTGTTCGCTCATTCGGAATTAACTATAAGTAGGTAGAGACCTACTTATATTTAATTCTGAATTGGAAAGGTAGAGTAATAAAAATCTCAGAAATAAACATACATATGTACAGTTCACACGCAGTAGAAGTGAAACCTTCAAAAAACTAAACTTCGAAAGAATGAGAGGAATGCAGAGTATCAGGATCAAGAGTTGGATAATTGTAAGATTTAAGTGATTAAAAATATAAATAAATTCATAATAAACACTGTATATTGCAGTCTATCTCATTCTATCGCAAGCTAAATCTTATAGATATGTTTGTCTCTTTTATTTTATTTTGTTTGTCTCTTAGTTCTTCGTTTCGTCGAATTTCAAATCACAACGAATCTAAAAATGTTTTCAATTCAAAAGATATAGTACGTAAGGGTATATTGTAAACGCTTTTATGTTTATGTCTTTGTCCTTCTCCTAGTTTTGGTTTTATAGAATGACAAAGCTCAAGGTGATGATATTACCCTCACCTACCTTATTTGTTTAAAATTCGACTCTTATGTGGAAATTTAATGTATATAAAGTTATTTGTTGGTTTTTAGTGATATTGATAGTAATGATTTTGATTTGATGTGCTGAAACTGTTCCAGAAGTAACATAACCGAATAGGTACATTTTTGTGTTATGGTGTCTAAAAACTAAAGTTACCAGACTTAAGGGTCTCTATACTCTGTTAGGATATAAAATACTCTGCTGCGGCGGAGATAGGGAGGTTATTTCAGACACCTAGGGGCTAAATCTTCACGACTCGATGTTAGATTCTTGGCATGAGGACGGCCCGCTTTTGCACACTACCGACCACAGGTTGAGGCATATTTATCTCAAATGTGTTAATCATCGAAGATAGATGTCAGACATTGAAAATGAATGGACACTGAGTGTGTGAATCCGAATGTAATGATAACTTGCCCATGATAGCAGGTTTAACAGCAGTTTGATATATGCATGGTGATGATGAAGACGGGTAATACTATAATATTTCCTATACTTTTCGTGTATCATCTATTTATGACTTTGCTTTGGCATGTGGTCTGAAACAACTGGTTACCTCGCCTACGCGGATCCCAGATATGGAAGATCAAGTACTTTCCCTGTTGGACCTTCTGCTGAGTTCTTATCAATATCAAGCCTCCGTCGATGCCCTTCTTGGCTCCTCGAACCATTGTCTGATCCGGAGTACGGTGCCACTCGCACTCCCATCGCGGTTGCGTTCTGAACTTTTCCGTTTTGTTCGTTGCCGCCGTGTTTGGCATTATAGGTCAGTCGATTGGGACGGAATGCGATCTTCTTTTGCATCCTACCCTTGGAGAGGGAGGGCGGGGTTTGCTTCTCCCTGAATGATCCCAGCGTTGTTGCTGATTCTGTCATTGATGTGGTGCAGAAAGTATGAAACTGTTTATTTCATCATCTGTGGTACCTATCATGTTTACACCATAAGAAGGAGTGCTATCAGGCCTGGGCTGTCGCATCGACATCTTGGGATACAAATACCAGCGCTCTCAAAAAGAAGTATAATTCCGCCTCCAGGGCCTACAAAAGTGTCGTTGCGAAGGCAAAGTCAGAGCACATCGAGATCAGATTGGCGAGAAATTAGTTTGACTTCCGTCGGGAATACGTGCATTTTGGACTCTCGCCAAGGCTGTTGCAGGGAACTTCTGTCGATCATCACTCCCACGCCCATGCGTTGCCATGCCAAACGACAAAGCCGATCTGCTGGCCTCTCTCTTTGCGTCCAACTTGACTCTTGTTAATGGGGGGAACACACCGCCGACCATCCCGCAGTGTGAGTGCTCCATGCAGGATGTGCTGTTTACCCAGCGCTCGGTGCGCAAAGCACTCCTCTTCCTGGACGTCACCAAGTCGAGTAGGCCCGATTGCGTCCCTTCTATTGTGCTGAAGACGTGTGCTCCGGAGTTGGCACTGGTTTTAACTCGTCTTTTGGTACTCCCACTCCCTAGGCGTAGTCCCGAAATCATGGAAGACAGCTTTAGTTCACCTGATCCCTAAAAATGGCGACCTCTCAGATCCGTCTAACTACATGCCTATCGCCATCACCTCCTTGTTCCCCAATATAATAGAATCCATTATAAACTGCCAGCTAATGAGGTATCTTGAGGATTCTCTTGGAGGAGGAGCTGATTAGCGACCGCCAGTACGGTTTCCGTCAGGGCCTCTGGTGATCTTCTGGGTTACCTAACTCATAGATGGACGGAAGCAGTGGAGACCAAGGGGAGGCGTTGGCCGTTAGTTTGGACATAACGAAGGCCTTCGATCGAGTTTGGCACAAGGCCATAAATGCTGGTGATCCACATGTCTGTGTGCCATCACTAATGCTGTTTCTTCAGCATATCAATGATATGTTTCAAACTGGTAACATTCATTGCTATGCGGACGACAGCACTGGTGATGATTTATACATAGGCCGTAGCAATATTTTTGGGATATCGTCGCCGAGTACCGGGACAAACTTGTGTCTGAAGTCGAGACTTTATTGAACAAAGTCTCGGACTGGGATCGACTAAATCTAGTTCAATCCCCAAAAGACACAAGTTTGCGCGTTTACCGCTAAAAATAACCACTTTGTCTATCTCCTCAGTTTCCCTTGTTGTCTCAGCCAGTATCGGAATCCTCGGCGTCGACATATCGAGTGACGTGCAGTTTCGTGGTCACTTAGAAGAGAAGACCAAATTGGCCTCTAAAAAGCTTGGCGTGCTCAGTAGAGCGGGACAGTATTTCATGCCAGCAGACCGCTTGCAACGTTACGAGACGCAGGTTCGGCCGCACCAGTGCCAGCTCCCTTCATTTGATCACATCCAGCGCAGAACCATTCGAATCGTCGGCGACCTAGCTCTTTCCGATCGGTTTGACTCACTGGCACTGCGAAGAGATGTTGCATCTCTTTGCGGATTGTATCGCATTTACCACATGGAGTGCTCTGAGGAATTGTTTGGACTAATTCCAGCGGCACAATTTCGCCATCGCACATCGCGACAAAACTCGCGATACCATCCATACCATCTGGATGACTGGCGATCTACTGTGCGATTTAAAAGAAGTTTTCTACCTCTCACAACTTCCTTGTGGAATCAACACCAGATTTTTTTCCGGATCGATATGACTTAGGGACTTTCCAGCAAAGAGCCTACTCCTCTTTAAAACGCCCGCAACGCATCTGCAATTCCCCTGGTGTTAGGGCTAGTAGTACCAGTTACTCGACTCCACCGAGTCAGTAATTCATTCTTGGGGCGATGTATACGCTTTTACAACAAAATCCCAGAAAATATACAAAATTTGTTATACACAAAGTTCAAAAATATTATTAAATAATAACCCCTAGGAAGGGTGATCGCTACCAAGCTATTTCTAATTTGTCTTGTGTTGTTAATTGTAAACATGATTGTAAGCTATTATTGGAAAAAATAGTCCCGCTGGGTTTCTTGCTTGTTCTTCCCAGGACAGAGGTTTTTTTTGCAAACCAGTGGTAAATTAAAAAAGTGACTTTCAATATAGTTCGGCCGTTCAGAGAATGCGTTCCTGACACGATGCGATTGAACTGACGACGTAACTTTGTAATGGCGTTGCAGTTACGATAAAAATATTTTTGCTGGTTGTTTACCGTTTTAACAATTGATGAGCATTAAAACAACATTATTATATCAATAATCAATGAATGCTATAATTTTGTGCCAAACTGAGTGTCAAATAACTTGGTAAACAATATTTTTCTAAATCTATACTGCGCTATTACAAGGTTATGTCAGCGCTTTATATTTATAGTGCTGTGCTAACAATAACAAGCAATAACGGTATCGTAATCTGTTCTTATGCAGTTATACTTTATAAAATAATACGTTTTTTTAAGAATTTGAAAATAATGGACTATAAGATATCTTTTATTAAATATAAAAATAAAACTACGACCAAACCGAACGCGCGAAAGAAAGTAGCATTTTTATATTTAGGTTAAAAATGGTAACCCCAAATGGCGTTGGGCCGCCATTTTGTGACGCTAAAACAGTCGTCTGTTGTCGTTTCGTGCGCATAGACCACGTTCTTCGGCTTTCGTTTAATGGACTGTTTCTGTTTTTCAAACTGACATCGGCGCTAAATCGGACTTCGATTGTGTGGCATTTCAATCAAAAACCACAAATGACTACCACGAGGAAATGAATGCCACTACATTTAAAGAGTGGTTCCAGAACGTGCTTTTGCCCAGCCTACCAGAGCTTTCTGTAATATTCATGGATTATGCCGCCTATCCCAACCACCTACCCAAGCTAATAAAAAAGAAGAAATAGTGGCTTGGTTATAAGCAAAAGGCATTGACGCAAATATGCAGATGCTAAAACCAGAGCTAATTAAATTAGTTAAAGAAAATTAAGCGGCAAATGTGCGATACGAAATCGATGAACTGGCTCTGGAGTACGGTCATCGCGTTCTAAGAATTCCACCGTATTATTGCCAATATAACGCAATTAAGCTAATCTGGGCTCAAATAAAAGGTTACGCCGCCCGCCACAATACTTCCCCGCCATTCAGGTCGAAAAAGATGATGACCCTATTAAAAGAAGCCTGCGGGGAAATCACAAGAGATGACTGGGCAAAGGTTGTTGAGAAGACTAAAAACCTGATTGTGGAACATTTTGACCGAAATATCAGGATTGATTCTGTTATTGATAATAATATAATTATACGTGTAGGCGAAGATGATGATGAAGACACCACCTCCTCAAGCGAATCGGAGTCTGATTAATATTCTGTACGCACATTCAATTCAATGTACTTTATTGCATAGAAATACAGATTGTAACTTTGTAACAAAGAATAAATAAAACAATTTTATTATATTAATATTACCTTTTTTTGGTTTCCACTAAAATTACTAAAATATAAATTTTAAATGATTCAATTTAAAACGAAAATAATCTTAAAAATAACGCGGCGGTTCATTTTGGAGGAACGGTAACGAACTCAGTGTTATGTTGTGCCCATCACTAGTCGTGACTAACTGATAGGTGTCACGAATGCATTCTCTGAACGGCCGAACTATAAGTATTGTTATAATCTACATTGAATAAAAAGTTTCTGTTTCTGTTTCTGTTCTGTTGCAATTGTTCATGGGCGGCGGTAATCACCGTGATGTGAGCCGTATGCTCGTTTGCCCCCCCCCCCCCCACTCCTATAAAAAATCATATGTTCTCTCTCGTAAACATACGAGATATAAAAAAAGTTGTAGCTTAGGTACATCCTTGCCTTAATCTATCCTCATTTTCATAATACCTTAGAGAAATAAATCAGTATAAGTGCATTATATGATTATTTTAACAGAAATTTAAGATACCTAATTTTATTATTTGTAGAGTAGAAATATGAGTTTTCTTTATATATAATTTTTGTCTTTAAAAAATTGGAACCTTGATTCATCAGCTAAACACAGCTCATCCTTTAGACTACAAAACTATATTTTTGATTTCACTTACCATAATTGTTGATCTCTCCAGTTATAAGTACTACGTTTGGTAACGAAAATTATATATTATGTGCGTGCCCTTTTTTTTTGGATAATGATGAAATCATTTATGAATATTAAAAATTGCTTTAACTAAGTTACTTACTTGTGAAAAGCATAAAAAATCTGACACCACATAAATAAAAATAAAACAAAAAATATGAAATAAACTGAATATATTTAATAATTGTTATAATTAAAATGTAACTAAAGTACATTAATTCAAATGATAGAATGATTGACACTGTTAATGTTTCAATTAAAACAACATTCACATTTTCTAATTACATATGAAGGTACCGAGATTCACTAAATATAATGCTATATCTATGTATAAAATTACATTTTAGGTACTATTCAAACAACAGTCTACGTGTGCGCGTCGCTAAAAGTTAATTTAGAGAGCTACAGATAAATCACTACAAGGAACAGTTATTTCTTTAAAAAAGTTGCCGTTCTTATAATCTCTCATTACAGAGAGTAGTATATTCCTTGCTAGGAATGTATAAGAGACCTTCGCAAATTCACGAAGTTTTTATTTTTTTAAATGAGGCTATGGTCTCTTTAACATACGTTATTGTCAAGCACAATAAAAACAGAAAGATGTAATTGAAAGGCTATTTTGTTAACAAATTCGACGCGTTAATTTCGGATTATTTGATTCGGCGGTGCGAATTTTGAGCGCTAATCAATAATTTCTAACCTAATCAGAACCTGTATAATTTACTTAGGGATCAACAAGGACCCAACATAAATTACGAGGTGATTTAAGTAGAAGGAACTTATTACTTTGAGTCTTCAGTCTGAATGTCACTTCTTACCACCACTTGTGTCTATGGTTCTGATAACTGTTGCCTTAACTTTATATAATATTTGAGGCATTTGACAAATTAACCGGTTTGTGACAATTATTAACATCTATCTAATAACTGAAATATAATGGTAAATAGATTTAAAAATTATTTTAAAATCATATAAGTAGGTAACAGAATAATTAGCACCTAAAATAAAATATAGCAACATTATAAGTTATTTACAAACCTATGTATTATTAACTAGCATACAAACTAAATGCTACAGATTTGCATTTAAAATAAACACACAAACAAAATAATTTACGCTGTACATTTAATAACTGAATAAAAATTATTCACTAAACCTAGACATATTACTGGTTTCTGTCTCATTACTATTGCAAGTTTATCTATGGCAATACAATCATTAACTAAAGTAGACCATAAAATAAATTTTAATATAACTGATTAGTCTCTTATACTTCTGAATTTTCAATAAATTGATAATATCAAAAATTTGATATGTTTGAATGATAGTGTAGAACATTTTAGTTTTTATAGACTAAATATTATTTTAATAAAATAAAAATGCATCACGACATTGCATTTACCTATTTAATCTATATTTATATTAATTTAAAAGAATAAATCTTTTGGCGGGTTTCATAATTAATTTCACGGTAATTGTACTAGCAACATTCATACGATGGACATGAAAACACTGTCATATGCACGAGTGCAAAAAATAATCGTGTATAATAATTAAGCCACATAACAGAAATTTAAAGCCACTACAAGCCAGTGCTGTGTCTTATAACAATGTGAAAATAATATTTGTTCGATACGAATTGAATTTGGGAGTTGATAAAGTGCAAAACGTCACAAAAGTAAAATAAGTTATATGACAATGGTCCTGAGTCTTAAACACAGTCTAATAAAGCTCAATTACATAGAAATAAAATTTTGCAGTTCGTTTAATTTTGCAACAACTAAAAAAAGGCAAACAGTACAAAAATTACTCACAAAAGTTTTAACATAACACAAAGTCAACAAGAAAAATATAACACTGCAGGTTTGGATTTACAAAGATAAATGCATTAATTTAATTTTTGCTATTAATTTGTTTGTATATTATTTAACGTCAGTCTAACAATTCAATGATCTCTCTTAAAAACAATTAAACAAGTACTCACGACGAGTTTTTACTCTTTATCTCGCCCATTTTAATGTCCTAAACATTAATAGATCGCTGTTTCGAAAACCATTGCTCCTTTATGCCGGAATGTATTCGCGTGGTATAGATCAAAACCTGCAGTGTATGTGGTGTTGTGGTCACGCTCGCTCACCGGGCGCGGCTCGGTGCTCGAGGCGGAGGGAAGATGGAGGCCGCGGATGCGGTGGCGGGAGCGATTCCGTGACCACTAGCGGCGTCTGCGGCGAATCTAGAGGTTTCGTGCCTGCAATATTATTTATCATAATGTTAAATTATGGATAGAATCTATTTATTTAGCATTATTTAGATGTAAGATACTCAAAGACGGTTTAGTTTTTTTTTTTCATTTCATTTTTTTCCAAAAAAAAAAATAAATCTTCGAAGTTTTTCGAATAGATATAGCCTAGATTTCTCCTGGCAATGCTCTCTATCCCTCTGCATCTCTATGAAGATGAGGCCGGAGATACAGAAAAACATTTCAAAAATTGTTGTTTAAGTTCGTGCAATAGAATTTGACGGGAAATTCAACACTTACCTACAAATGAACTCTCTAGCCAATACAGCTTTTGGCTCGATTTGGGCGATGGTTGACGATCTATGTCACCATTGGCTGGTTCTAAACCAGATACGTAGTGTACAATGGCGGAGGTCACTTCCTTAATAGACGACTGGATTTCTTCTGCTGCTTTGGCTGATGCTGTGGACTGCTGGAGTAGGGATGAAGCTAGCCTGGAACGCCATACATAACCACCTTCAGGTATTGGTAAAATCAAGTTCAAGACTAATTTGAAATGGAATCTTTAAAGTTTTAAGAAGTTTGCTTTTTGATTAAACGATTCCCTGTCCCGTGTACTACATATAGTTCATTGCTATTGTTTTACTACTGTGTCTGAAAATCGGACAGTGAAGGTGTTAAAAAGGGATGAAAAGGTTCCACCGTTTAGTACATTTGAAGATAAGTTTTGTGGTGGATTACTACTCGTATGATTTTAATCTGAGGCAACTCATTAATGAAAAATCCAGATACTAAACAATAATATAAGCCAGTAGCCTAACAGCGTCGCATACACTTAGCTACTGCGCTGCGGAGACGCTTCGCATAAATAATTGGCAAAGGGATTGAGAATTCTTAAAGCTTTTGAACTTAAGAGTTGGATATTCATTTTTAACCTTTATCTAACTGCACCAAAGTAGAGCAAGTGAGTTTTAAGGCCATTGTCGCAAAAGAGTTTCAGGAGCGGCTACCTTATCTATAGAGTAGAGAGTAGACACTTTGGGAACCCCCGCATTACATGGTTCATGTGTTAATTTCTTGCATTTCTTTTTTCATTAGAAAGAGAACAATTTATATTTTTTACCTTTCGTGTGGCGTTCTCGGCGTTGTATTTAGTCGCTCCTGACTTCGCCAGCCAAGGTAGGGTTGGCGAGCGCTGAAGGACGAGCGAGTTGACGGCGAGCACAGCGGACTGCCGCCGCGGATACTGCTCCGGGTTGACGAACACGGGGACGTCTGGGAGAACGAGAAATTTTTCAATCCAATTATAGTTGAAAATTTTAAGGCAGGTTCTACCAGCCAGGCTACGGCTATATTATAATTGCAGCACGAATGGGTCCCCTTAACCGGGACAGGACCAGCTCTCACAGAATACTAGCGTAAATTAGCAGCGTAATCCTGCTGTGTTTCGTATGGTGAGTGTAGAGAACCGGAGGCCCTTTTTACTGGAATCGAGGCATTCCATCTTAGTCCTCATGGGTGACAACGCATTTGAATTTTGATTCTCAATTGAGGATAACTGTAGATGTCTATGGGCCGCAGCATCCACTTACCACCAGGTGGACTGTGTTCTCGTTTGTCACCCAATGCTATAAAAAATGCGTCCTAGCATATTTTAATCTGTTGATAGGTACACAAATCTAAGAGAGAGCCCTATGCTCAACAGTGGCTGCATTTTTATAGGCTGTAATGGATGGTACACAAAACAGTATTAAATCAAAATTCTAGAAATTCTAAGCAGTGTAGAAGCGACATAAGAGAATCCCCTACCCTATATCTTCCGATGGGTGTATATATCAAAAGCAATATAAATGGTTGGACGGAGAACAACAATGCAAGGCATCTAAATTGTGTCATGTGACTGTAACTTTTAAAGTTCCATCTGTTATTAAATTATAATCGACGCAGTGTGCACCAAGATTATTAATTATTTTGAAGTGAAAACTTCTTTAGCATCGTTGTGATTTGAAAGTCTATGAAACGAAAAAGCGACAGTAAAAAGAGACAGACACATAAATTCATAAGATTTAACGTGAGAGAAAATGATAGGAAGCATTATAGCTCAAAGCTCACGAGAAAAAAGTCGTAAACGCCGCCGAAACGGCGTCGCTTACGCGTTTTATTCGACAAGGTACGAAGGTGTCGTGTGCCTATGGAATAAACAAGCAGTGAAGAGCGGCCAAACCTCAACTTTGTAATAGGTAAAATTGATATAAATATTTTTGTAAATACATATAGTATATTAAAAGGATTGTTACATTTACGTACTATAAAATTAATTTTTCTTATATTTTATGCCGAAATTGTAGTCTGAATTATAATATTAAATAAATCATTTGCCTTAAAGTATTTGTATTTTATATTTAAATTCATTTGAAGGTTTCACTTCTATCGCGTGTGAGCTGCACACATGTTTTTTTTTTAAATTTTAGTTCTGAAAACGAAATATAGCCAAATCTAAAAGCTCAGGTCACACAGAAGCGATATAAGTATTACTATAAAAGGAGTCCAGAAGCAAACTTGCGGATAGCAAATGCATTCTGTTACATGATGAAGAACTTTGCTATTTGCTGATAGTTCAGCAGTGGACTTGATTTATAATTTTATATTTTCACATGTGGAATAATGTTATAATATATATTTATCTACGAGAATTGTCAGTTAAATGCGTGCTCTGTTGTTTTTTCTGAAGGGTGAAGAGCGAGTATAATGATACTCTGTCAGACACTCCATCTTAAGTCCGCAGACGTGATAATGACTGTAGTCTTCTTTTTCTTCTCTTTGGTACCACGTGTTCTAGGGTTGCAGTGGTCAAGTACCACGAGGACTGTAGGTTCGTTTGCCGATTCAGTGTTATAAATATACAATATACATATAAACGAGAGAGAGAGAGAGAGAGAGAGAGATGAGAGAGAGAGAGAGCTAAACTGTCACTTCCACTCCATAATGCCAAACTGATTACGATAATTGTGTAAAAATTTTGTGAACAAGCTTTGTGGTTAAAACAGTAATAAAAAAACCCATTGCGTTAGAAAGTAACTGAAAGAAAATTGAAAACTTTCCACTTCCTTTTTTGTATTTGTAGATGAAATATATAAATATTAGTATATCCTAGGAGCTGTGGTAGCTTAGGAAATTAGCGCTCGCTATAAATTTCACAGTACGCGAGAAGCCCGGGTTCGATCCCCGCCGACACAAATAAAATTGTAGATTGCAATTTTAAATGCTGATTTAGGTACCACGTGCTCGGTCGTGAAGGAAAACAGCGCGACAAAACTTGCACGTCTGAGAAATAAAAAATAATATTTCGAAGACATGTGAAGTCAGCCAACACGCATTGGGTCAGCGCTGCGATCACTTGCTTGCCCTAAACCTCTCTCAGAAGGTCAGAAGTGAGAGGAGTCCTGTGCCCAGCAGTGGGACGTATATAGGCTGTAACTTTACTTTTACATTTATATCCTAGTATAGTTTATTATATTAGTACAGCCGATGTCACTCCAACAATCAAGTGAAATCTAATAACATCTCTTATGTTAAAATCAACGAAGCATGTTACAGAGCGTGTCAAACTCTTGAAAAACCTTAACTTCTTCCTGGAGCAGTCGTGTTAAAACGTAAAGTTCAAGAAATTACTAACTTGATTAGAATTAAGACGGCTAGTCGACCATCTTCCGAAGCTGGTGGTGTGCGGGGAGAGCTGGGGTGGTGGTGGTTGAACGTTGTTGGCGCCGAGGCTGCCGAGCGATGTGGTCTTCGAGTTGAGTCCGCCCCAGCGCGTCGCCGCTGACGACGCGTCGGAGAGGCGCTTGCGCAGCAGGAAGCCCTCTCGGGGTGCTGGCGCGTTTTTGTACCTAGAAACACATATTAAGTTATCAATTTTATGAAGCGACAGTAGCCTAATGGCAGGGTGCGGCCCGCGGACTCGGAAGATCGTGGGTTCGAATCCGCTATTCGACTACTGTCGTGAACCACTCCCAACATAGCAAAGCTTACCAGGAGTGTTTAAAGGGACTATTAGTAATTTTAATAGTGTTGCTGTGTTTTTTACGTGGTAGAGCCACACTGCAGCTATATTATGGTTGTAGTACGAATGGGTCGGCTCGACCAGGGAAGGACAGAAGACCAGCGTAAAATAGAAGCTTAATGCTGCTGTGTTTTATTTATGGTGAGTGTAGAGAACCGGAGACTCTTTTTACTGGAAACGAGGCATTTCATCTTAGTCCTCACGGGTGACAACGCAACTGCATTCGTAATCGAGTATAGATGTAGATGTCTATGGGCCACAGCAACCACTTACCACCAGGTGGACTGTGTGCTCGTTTGTCACCCTATCCTATATAAAAAAGTCCTTCCTTGATCAAAACTTCGACTAAGTATAACTGTAGTATACAGCCTCTCAAAAGTCCAGTACTGAACATAGGCCATTTCCATAAGTTGCCTCGTAGTACATATTTGCCATATTTGCCACGCATGGCAGGCTGGTTGGCAACCCCAGCTTTTTAGTCGTTATTAGGAACAGGCTGCTGCCCATCTCTTGGTTTGTTTCCTTCCGTCGCCTCTTACTACAACCGCGGGGCTATAAGGGCTCGTGGATATTCTTACACCGCCATCACACGTCACTATTTCTATCATAAAGCAGCATTCATTTGTTTTTCCGCCATCAGTCGGTTTAACATCTCACTGATAAAGAAATGCAGTGAACAACCAAACCTATTTCAAAATATCCTTAGATCTGTAGACTTATTAGGAGGATCGAAAAATTTTGTTTTTGTCATAGAATAGACCAATTTGTTGAAGAAATTGTCATGTAAAATTTTTCAAGCTGCTCATATAAGAAAAAATTGATTAAAAATTAATTGGTTTCTTTTAATTAAATTATTTTTAGTAAAAAACAAATAAAATAATTAACATTTCATTATTTGTGGATACTACTGGAAAATTTTGAAGCAATATTTAGACGAATAATAAACATCTTCACTAAAATTAACACGGATAAGTTTTTTTCTGCTTTCTGTTAGTGTGTTTAATAAATTGCATGATATCGATTTTTAAAATTTGCGATTCTCGGTTGTCGGCTGACTAAGTTCACACTCATGATAAAAAAATATTTTTATTTGTCAAGTTTTTAAAACTCTAATTTTTTTGAAGTACAAAAAAAATTAATAAACCTGGAAATCAAAATCTGTAGATTTTAACTCAAATTACGTAGTTCCGTAGACGATGAAAAAATTCCATAGATCTAAGGAAAAATCCGTAGAGTTGGCAACGCTGGTTTGTCATTTGGAAATATATGTACGTATGATACAGAGACAATACAAAGAAATTCCTAGTGTGGGGGTAAAGTTTTTATTTAAAAATATTGAAAGATGTATAGAATGTGTAATTGTTTGTTGTTAGAAGTGAATGTCGTAAAAAAGGGTTTAACCACTAATCGAGATATAATCCATCATTTCAGTTACAAGCTCTTGTTTCATCAAGCAGAAACAGTAAGGACATAGCAATTACCACATACATGAGCGACAACGTCGCTTGGCATCCGTGCGAATAATTTAATGTAGGCACTTCCCAGTAAGATATACTGGTATCTTAGACAAATTAGACAATTAATGTGTCGTTAGTGCCAATAAAGATCTGTCTGTGGTTGTATGAGGGATATTAAGATATTTAAAACTTTCAAAGCTAACTATTTTTTTTTTGTAAATAACACCAAAAAAATTTAATAGTATAAATGTGACAAGCGAGTACACAGCCCACCTGATGGTAAGTGGATACTGTGGCAATTTGAGTCTGTCCTCAATTAAGAATCCAAATACAGATGCGTAGTCACCCCTGAGGACTAAAATAGAATGTCTCTTCTATTACAACTAGTAAAAAGGGTCTTCGGTCTCTACACTCACCATACGAAACACAGCAGTATCAAGTTGCTATTTTACGCTGGTATTCTGTGAGAGCGTGGTCTTGCACCGGTCGAGCCGACTCATCCGTGCTACAACTATAATATAGCTGTAGCATGGCATGGCACTGTAAATCTGATCTGATGCAATTGAATCTGAATGAGAAAATCCTTAGCCCAATTACTTAATAAATGTTGAAAAGAAAATCAACATAGTCACGATAAAAATCTAAAAGTTTTAATGTAGAGCAAATTCTAATAACACGGCGAAAATTTATTTTTAGATCATCTCAAGTGTTTTCATTCCAGAAGAGCGATATGAGGGAGGCGCTACTTGTGGTAGCTGATCTGCTCCAGTTTTATTATGCACTGATGAGCTCCAACGTTTAACGTCCATTTTTTTGGATGCGATTATTATTGTTCATTGTTTTTTTTTTTAAATTAAAATTTCATTTCTGTATTTTTGATAGTCAAAAACGACAAAAAGAGGACCAATGGAATTCCTTTCACAGTTTCTTCCAAAGAAGTTATTAGTTCAGTTTTCTCTTCGAAACGGTATAGATATCACTACTACGTTTTAGATACAGCGAACTTAATTTCGAAAGATATAAAAATAAAAGTTTTGACAAACGATGTTTGTACATTAAATTTCATTTTTTATGTAAAAAATTAATATACTGCATTATATTCTCATGTTTTAAAAAACTGTGATGCGGTTACACAATATCTACTCAAGATGTCCGACGATCATTAATGGCTGACGAATACACTCACACTCTACTCTCATGCCGTCACTACACATTAATAAAGGATTATGTATAATGTGCAACAACGCTTTAGGTCAACGTGAGAGGGCCACGATGTCTTATAATACCAGCGTCAAATAGCAGTATAGGTAAAACTGCTGTGTGCCGTATGATAAACGTAATCGGTGACATTTTTATAAGATTGATTCGAAATTTTTTTTTGCAATACACAATACATATAAAATAAAACATTGCTATCATATTATGGTATACAAAATAACATCACGGAAAGAGGTATTGTTTTTTTATAGAGTAACGGTACCAAAAAAGTGAGCACACAGTCCGCCTGATGGAAAGTGGATGCTGTGGCCCATAGACATCTACATTTATCTTCAATTAAGAATCAAAATGCAGATGCGTTGCCAGTCCTAAGATGGAATATCTTGTTTCCAGTAAAAAGGTTCTCCGTTTCTATACACTCACCATACGAAACACAGCAACATTAAGCTGGCTGATATTCTGTGAGAGCGCGGTTCTTCCCCGGTAGAGCCGACCTATTCGTGCTGCAACCACAATATAGCCGCAGCATGGCTCTACCACCACTGGGGTTATACTATCTACTACTACTACTTGTTGAACTGAGTTGAACTGTAGTCTTTACACTAAACGAGCCTGTATCGCGAAGACCACACTACGATTAATATTCACAAAAATATAGACCAGTGGTCACTTTGGTGGCAATAAACGATTTTTGTAAATACTATATGTATATCAATGCATGGCAGTAACAATCGAAGCGACAGTAGCCTAATGGCAGGGCGCGGACCGCGAACACAAAAAGGTCGTGGGTTCGAATACGCCATGCGACTACTGGCGTGAACCACTAGTAACACAAGCAATTTAAGCTTACCACGAGTGGTTAAGGGAAATATTAGGAATGCTTATAGCATTGTTAATATTATTTTTTACAAAAAAAATGTGACAATTTTATTATTATTTTAGTTTTATTTTTTTTACTATTTTTCAGACCCGAAATCATACAAGTACCTACTTGTTCAAGGAATTTAGTTCTAAGGAGTGATCACAACTGCATTCAGGATTCTTAATCGATGATGAACGTGGGTGGCCTACGGACAATAGTATTCAATAATCACTAAGTGTTATAGTCACCCTTAAATCTGTAAAAGAAAACTTACCGTTTTATTAAAACTATACCTGTTATCAATATAAATTACTCATACTATTTTCAATAAAAGCTTGAAAGTTATAAATGTCAAGTAGTCCCCACGCATCCCAGACCGAAATAACAAAATAAAAGGTTCAAAAATACACCGATCGCTTCAAGAAAAGGTTAAAGACTATGAATATAATAAATAAAGTATAGTTTTTAAAAGAATTCTCCAACTAACTTCAGTAATCGTTACATGATTTTTAGCTTACGAATAGAACTAAAAACTTCAGTAATCGATACATGATTTTTAGCTTAGCTTTAGAATAACGGTATTGTTAATGATTAAAAAAAAGAATCTGGCGATTTATTTCCCGAAATTCATAATATTAGTTTAAAGAGCTAAAGTAGTACACACTATTTTATTCTTGCATACCAGGGATTACCCCTTTCTCATATCTTAGATGGTTTTAGGGCAAGGAAATGTCCGTCGCTGGTTTCGATTGATGTTGGTGCTGTTAGCCTAAGCGGTTCTTACAGCTTCATCTGACCCAGAGCTCGCGGCCAAAAGGGAAGAAAGAAAAAGGGGGCACTCTGCGTCGATCTGCATCGTTACGCGAGTAACGATGCTCGCCTACGTCAGTTGCAGATGCACGTAGATGAGTAATCTAACGGCCGTCCGAACAGGAGGTTGCGAGCCCCGCAACCTCGGGGTCCGTCACGCTGCCCCAATGTGTGTTAGCGAACTTCACATGTCTTCGAAATTTTGGTTTCTTATTTCAACATGCAGATTTCCTCACGATGTTTTACTTCACCGTCTAGCACGGGGTAAAACATGCTGATCTTAATAAATTATTTTTTCATTCATTACATTTTACATCCTATTAAATGTCACAAAGGAGGATATTCGCCACAGTTGCCACCACAGAATACTATATAACAAACATAATTTTATTATAATACACAATAGAATGGTTGTCAACTTTAATTTGTACGAGGATTGGCGTCGCCAAACCTGATTCGCTGTGTTAACAGACTGAGTAAATTTACACATTAATAGACTTTTGACTAATGTTCAAAATCATCATTAAAAAAATCGTTTAAACTTTAATACATATTTATTTGTAAATAGTGTGCAATTTGGCATTTTCTAAATAATTAGCATGTGAAATTTGGAAACGTCAAAACACATCCCGTGTTGACATTCATACGTGTGAATTGACATGTTAGTGACATTTTAGTGGCTACGCGGGCTCCGCCCACTCCCCCATTCTATTATGTATGTATTATTATTATTATTATAGTATTCTACGGTTTCCACGCTTGGAAGGTGGATTGGCAACCGCTGTTTTTATTTAGTAGATTTAGGTATTACAAGAAAGAGAACACTGTCCATCTCGTGGTTTCCCTCTGTCGCATGTTACAACACCCGTACACTCCTACGCCACTACATATCGTACACTTATTTAATCTTAAAATTGACGGAAAATAGAAAGACGTATATAAAAACGAAAAAATATCATAAATCAGTTCACATTCAATTGTTACATTTCTAATAGGGCGACGTGTAGTAACCTAAATCGTACAAAATAATTACTTTATCACACGAAATCATGCCCGATAGCATCGATAATTACATTTTCGGTACCACGAGTGCGAGTGCCTACTGAAAATATTATTATCGATACTGCTGCTGTACACAAATTTCTTGACATAAATAAAAGTTATTTATCGATTTCGCTGATAACCTGGTCATGTAATACGGTTTACATTATATGTAACAAATAAAAAGAAATTTATACCTATTATTTTTAGTACAAGTACTTTATAGTTTATACACATCAATCATACACATCACCTATTACTATAAAAACTTTAACCCATCGAGTTTTGGTTTTGTTTTAGCCGACTTCAAAAAAAGAGGTATTTTATTTAGAATGTACGTTACGCGATATCTGCGCCAAGTGGGAACAGATTTCAATGTTTTTTTTTTATAAAAATATTTTTTCACCCCTGAGGGTTATAAATAAAGTTTCTAATGTCACTTCACTTAGACGACGTGTAGTTGTTATCAATTAAAATAATTAAATAACTTTAAAATAATTAAATAACTTAATAAAAAAAGTAGAAATAGTAGTCAAAAAATTAAAAACAATGAAATAATTTTCACAAAAGAATAAAATACTACTTTAAGTTTAATTATCGAAATATTAGCTTTCAAAAGGGCATGTAATGTGTTATTTTTAATATCCTTGCTAGTTAAATAATGCTAATAAAATCTGGAAAATATCTCAAATTAGCATTCTTTAAAAAAATTATAGGTAGGTACTTAATTTTTTTTAATATTTAAGATAACCTGCGCTGCGGTATCTATGTTAAAAGCTTAAAACACACTCAAATAATTTTGAATAATTCAATTTTATAAATAGTTTACTTCATTTGCGCCAAAATAAGGTAACCGCTGTTGTCAATTTTACATTTATACAGTTCAATGAAATAGAAAATTATTTATTTAATATAGATTATAAATAATACTTATTGACGAAAAACGTCCATAATAAAATGAATTAACCTAAATGAACAATGGAAAAATTGTTACGAAATAATACCTACAAACAAAGTATCAAGATTTAAATGTATTATTTGCATTATGCTGATAATTCCGACTCCTTAGAGGACGAAAGCGTATGATAATATATGAGGGCTTATTGAACCCCACTCATTACGACACATCACCCAGTAAGATGTTCTCGAACGTATGAGAACGTTAAGTAGGTACTGTTCACATCTTAATATCTATCCATTCTTAAGATAGATACAACAATGGAAGAACACATCTACCTAGATTAGGAATGAGGTGATTAAACTGAATTTTTTACAAAGGATTTATGGACATGTGTATTTTCACTTTAAGTATTTGTGATTAAAAAAAGTAACGCTCCTTTTCCACTAAGAAGTCCATTTGGATTGGTACCACTACCACCCTTTACTAATATCTGCCTCTAAACAACAAGGCAACCAAGATATCACAGGCTGAGAGTGGTCTTAGTGACATTAATACATCGGTAATTTTCTCTGTATGAAATTTGGTACATGTGGGTCGCAGTAGCCCTAGACCATCAGAATTCAGAACTGTTAGCTCATTTATTACTCTAATAATGTATATAAAATATATTATATTGAATAAAAAAATTACTTAAGTAAAAGAACACACAAAATTTCTGGGAATTTGGCTGGACGAAAAAATGACATGGAGTAAACATATTGAACACATAATAAAAAAAGATAAATCAATTCCACTATGCACTACATAACCTTATAAAAATTACAAATCGTGAAACAGTCATAACCGCCCACCACGCATACGTCTCTTCAACATTGAGATATGGTATAATATTTTGGGGAAATTCTCCAAAACGCGAACTAGTATTTAAAGCGCAAAAGAAATGTTTACGAGCAGTACGTCAGTTGCAGGTTACCGATAGTTGCAAACCGCATTTCAGTGATCTTAACATTCTGACCCTACCATCTTTATATATATTTGAAGTAGCTATGTTTGTAAGGAAACATTTAGGCATATTTGAAAACGCTAATAATAAACGACATAGGAATAAACTACGCACAAAACCTCATAAAACAGCCCTGTATTCAAAAAGTTTCCTGGGTATGGCGCCTAAAATTTTTAATAAACTCCCAAAATACATCAAAGAAACTGATAATATAGCCAAATTTAAGAAAATTGCTTTCGAGTTTTTTAATATATAAAGCATACTACTCTATCAACGAATACTTTGAAGATAAAATGAATGGTTTTTAGTACCTGCAATAATTAATGGACGATTTATTTATTATATGTTTATATTTATGTTATAGTGCCAGTTTCATAGTGCCAGTGATAGTGATAAACAAATATTTGTATGCCTTTGTAGGCGAAACATAGTGTTACGTATCATACCTTTTCCACCAAGCTTGTAACTTTTTATACCTATGTTTTACAAATAAATTATTTGATTTGATTTGAAATGTAGGAAGAACAATAAAAAAGCTTTTGCCTCATTTTTTATTAAGACAGTATACGAAATTTGAATTCGTACACCTCGCAAATATTCCAGGCGTGAAAATGTGTATAAAGTTAAATAAAGAATATATTATGCCAACTCACCATTCGGGCACATTTAACTTTTGTAGTGACCTCTGAACTCGTAGTTCGTGCTCCGAGAGCACACGGTCCGAATTTTTCTGCAGCTCGTTCTCAGGGGGCTGTAAGAAAACAAATAATTATTAATCATACATTTTAAATGGAAGGTTAATTATAAATAAAAGTAATAAAACAGTACCTATTTCATATATAGGCTATGCAACAGCAAATACACAACATTGTGTAGCAAAATAAAAAGGAAAGATGAAAAAACACAAGATAGATTTTTTGCTATAAACATTTTAATTGCAACCTATCTAAGTTCATACAAAGTACTGCTTAACTAAATTGTAGTTACATTTGCAAACTCATCTACATCTGTGGGTGCTAGACGATAAAGAGAGCTATAAAAGGTTGGGTCTATTTTAGAGACATAATTTTTCAAGTGCTCCATGTTGTTTAAGTCATTCATCGAAGACGAATCTATAATACCTTTCTCGATTCTTAAGGTCTGACAGATTTTGTGCACGGCAAACTTAGTATATGAAATTTCATCGTCATCAAAGGACACGTCAAGTATTTTACCATCCGTGCAATGAGATCGACTCACAATATTATCATAATTGTTGAAAGATTCTTCATTATTTAGTATTGAATCGCTTATTCCGCAAGATTTAACTAAATCAGACCATGATAAGGAGCCCTTTGAGTCGTTAAATTTAGGTAACTCATTATCGGCTTCTTTAGACAGCAACTGCGGCAAAACAACATTGTTGGTAGTAAAAGCCTTTTCAAGGGATTCTCTCGAACCAATTAATTCTGACACGCCATAAATTGTTTCATACCAAGAATCACACTTAGAAGCGTCTGTATTGAAAGTAACTTTACGTTGTTTTCTCTTTAATGTAGATGTACTAGGCACTAAGCTTTTTTCATGTTTCAAATTAAGATTTTTATCTTTTTCGAAGTTTGCATAGTCAGGAAGATCAACGTTATTAAAATCTTTGTCTTGTTCAGGAGGTATTATAATTGAACATCTTTTGTCTGTATCTAAATCTTCGACGGGTGGTGGAGGTATATTTTCGAGTAAGCGGTCAAAGAATGCTCGCACTTTTTCATCGTTATTATTGGCAGCTGTAGCTATTTCTTCAGTAGTTTTTTGCGTAACTGAAGTCACTCTTGTAGTGCTATTGTCACCAATAAACGGTGTATTACTTTTCGACGACTTGCTGTAGTTCGATTGACTTAAATACCGTTTACGAGATTCCAATTTTCTGATGCGTATTTTCGATTTCCATTCTTCGTGTTTTGCTATAAATCCAGAGACGGTCAACGGATTCTCATCTTCTGACTCGCTCCTAGGTACATCTGGATACTTTGTGTAGTAAACATCTCTTGACAGTGGCTTCGCGAATAAATGTTCTGGTTTCACTTCTTCAAACGGCTCCATTTCCACTGTAACCCATGTGGTGTCCAAACAATACCAAAATCCATTTCGCTGTAAAACTTCTTCAGTGGTAAGAAACACTACAGATACCATATTGACATGTTTTAAAAAGGAAGGCACGAAAACAAATGAAGAGAACGTAAATCGCAATTCATTAAAGTAGTATGTTTCAATATTTAACATTTAATGTATTTTGTGAAATCGGATGAGTCGTTACTAAATTATAGTTAAAGATAAAGCGTCTTTAATCACCATGTTCGCAAACAATATTTATTTTTGTAGTATCCTGTTTGTAGTATTCTGTTCATAATATTTGCCTAATACGAATGTACCTACAAAAATAAGTGCTGGGCTTTAATCATAATAATCAAATACAAAGTTGAATAAATCACGAGCAAACCGGTTTAGGTATAAATATTACAATTATTTAGACACGAAATGAAGTCATTTAGTCTTTAAAACGAAATAGCTTTCGATGTTTACCATAAAATTTCGTTAATTTATCGAGAACAGACTCACCCTTATATCAGACGATGCGAGCAGTGCGCAAGGGCCTAGCAGGCCTACACTTTCCCAGCAAGTCATGTTCACAGTTGTTTCGCGCTCGCGTCTGTCGTCCGTCGCTCTCTACACTCGCCTGACAATTTTACTATCGCATCGTGATGCACCGATGACTCCGTAAAGCAGCGTTACGTAAGTCCTCATATCGGTGCGATATCATTTTTCCTAACGTATAAAGCGAATACACACACACACAAAGCTTGGCCCTTATAGAAAATTAGTGAAAGCAAGCTGCAATATCGAAGCGGAAAGCGCTCGCCAATCAAATCACCATTACGTTGCTTATTGAACGTCAAAATTCAATTACAAGGCTGAATCGGAGCGAACGCGTGGCATCGGTGCTTAAGGTCGCTCTGCGGGTCGGAGCCGTTGTCGGGACTGGGGTAATGTGCTCATGCTGTGGTCGGGTCGGGTTCACGGGTCGGTCACTGCGACACTGCGCATCGTCGTACATAGGTATGGAGTTCGCTAGGGCTGGCGGCCGCGGCGCTGCCTCTGGCTAAACTGAGGCGCGGTATACGTCCTTGAGTGTCGCGCATGCTCCTTCAACACACCCTTACTACCGTTTCCAGTGCCAGCAATAAGAACATTCAAATGTGCCGGAATGATACAAATACCATAGCATTTTTTATGTTATTGAATGACTGCACACATCAGCTTCATCGTGTTTTTTTCATTTCGGCCACAATTTTATGAGCTTAATAGTCGGGCGCTTATTAACTGTGGGTGCGTCTAGCGTAGAAATTTTGGAAAGACGTAACTGTACAGTATCATCATGTAAAAGGGTAGGTTTCAGCTGTTTATCAAGGGCGTGACGCTGCGTGACATATTGACCTCGAAAATTTTAAAAGAAATAACAAATACTATTAAAGGTAAAATAACAACGGTAAATTTATTTAAACTGAAGTTAATTAATGACTTTATATTAGATCTTTAAATCACTTATACTAAGTGTTCCCTTGATATCAGAATGATGTCCTTGAAATATTTTAATGTTAAGTGCATTTATAACAATTATAAATTGTAAATGTGTTTATACTAGGTAGTAAGATTCCTTTTTACCTAGGAGTTATGTTTGTCAGATCGGCAGAGCAAAATTAGAAAAGTCGGAATTTTGGGGTTGATGTCGGGAGAAATAAATCTAAAACATTATAAAGGTTAATTTTTTTAATTAAGAGTTTAGCATGTATTTGGCATTGGACTTTACCAGAGTCCACCAATTTGGTTCATTTACTAGTATAGTATACAGAAAATACTTAAAATTCAAACAATTGACTAAATAAATAAAAAACTTTAAAGTTCATTCTAATTACTAACTCAACTTTTATTAACTCAAAGGCCATATGTTTACTTTCAGAGGGGATGTTTGTTTGGAGATTTTGAGTTTTGTCCGGAGTCTGGAGATCATTTAAAATGTCGGGAAAATCCAGACGAATCCCGACCATCTGGCAACCCTACTATGAATCCGTCTGGCGTCTGGGTAGGTACTATTTCTTTTACGTATTTCTGTCACGAAAAGGGTATAGAGATATAATTAAAGGCTGTAAGCCTTCTTTGTTTGAATTTGACTGCAGTACCCACTTACCATCAGGTAAGGGTTACCATGTCAGAATTTATCCTGACATGTCAGGTCTTTTGGGCTCTTGTCAGGATTGCGGCCGGATTTAAAAAAATATCAGGATTTTTCAACAAAATACAGTAAATTTTTGCATGGGAAGGGTGTAATTTGTGACATACTTGATCAGCGAGAGTACAAAAAACCAATCATTGATTTGTGGAAATCATGGTGTGTCATTCTGTGGAAATCAGGTTATTGGTCAAGACCTTCCAATTTTCCATGTGGTAACCCTACATCAGGTAAACTGTAATTTCGTTTATCACTATAGTTTTACAAAAAAAAAAATAGTTTTCTTTCGTTCACTGATGCATAATATAATATATCAAGCGTTGCATTTTATCTATTTCACGATGTGAAGGTTTCGCCTTGATTGTAGTAGTGACGTGTACAGACAAGCGCGTTTGTGTGTGTAACTGTGATTCGTTCGACTCGCGATCGTGATTGCGCTCCGGAGGCCTATGCACACTAACACAATGTGTATGCGCACTGCTAACACAACCAAAGTCAAAACTTCATCGTGAAATAGAATAACTTACCTGCTGTAAGGTGGCACCCTGTTTATTGGATGTGAAATGTAGTCCATGCCTCATGACCTAATTAAAGACAATACGCGACATATAGTAGTTGTATTTCAAGTAATATTGTAGTTGAATACACACAATTAGACGCCCTTATATTAACTTTGTTATCTTAAATTGTGATTACTCTCAGACGTCATATTGTCTGCCGCGTACATGAACATTTATTATTTCCTTTTTTATGTAGAGTAAGGATAAAAGGGTGACAAACGAGCACACAGTCCACCTGATGGTAAGTGGATGCTGAGACCCATAGACATCTATATTTATCCTCGATTAAGAATCAAAATGCAGATGCATTGTCCGTTTCTAATAAAAAGGGTCTCCATGTGATGAGTGTTCTCTACACTCATCACACGAAGCACAGCAGCAACCTGCTGCTATTTTACGCTGGTACTCTTGTGAGAGCGACGCGTAGTCCTTCCCCGTTCGAGCCGACCTATTCCTATTACAATCATAATATCGCTGCAGCGTGGCTCCAGCACGTCTTAATATGTATTATTTATATAGATGTTTTTGCTTATTCCGTGCAATGATTTCCATATGAGCATGATAAGAGAAATGGGTCCGTTATTTTGGCATGGTATGAATGACTCTCTTCTATAGTCTATCATAGTACAGCGCGACGGGATTGTTTATGAAAAGGATACGCTATTCGTCGCGCTGAAAGGATCGCTTTTTCGCTTTTCTAGAACGAACAAAACTGACAATTCATACGTTTCTAAAGTTTTTGTTCGTGTAAATCTTTCGGTTTGTGTTCAAGATACGCTTTTGCTTTGACTTGCACGATTTGTATATTTTTCGTTGGCTGCTCTATTTTGTGAACTATTCAGAATTTTAGTCGATATTAATCTTTTTTTAGTTTCTATACATAAAATTGTTAGTAGGGATATAGGTAAATAATATGTAAGGCCTCTTCTAATTTATCTGAGATGGTAAACAGTATTGTAACAAATATTTAAATCCGATCAATAACTTGCAGTAACGAGGTATATAGTTACTCATACATATATAAGAGATACAGATTCACAAAATCATTTTTATGACGAACTTATTGTAAACTTATTTTTATAGTAGTTAGCTTTGTTTACGTTGTATTTGGTATGGTATATTATGCACTCAGAGTGTAATGTCATTGAAATTGACCGTTGCATGCGGCCAAGGCTTGACCTGTAGCCCAATATATATAACTGACAGACGGAACTGAATATAATTTAGTTGTCCATGTGTCCGCTTGTGTATTGTTATTGAACTTTCGAGTTTTACTGTACATTATGTGGGGGGAAACATGAGCAAGTGCCTTGGGGTAGCGCATTTTATAAAAATTTTACGCATACGTATCGATCCTGGACAATTGCCAACTTCCTATCGATAGATGTCGTAAAAGTCGATTATATGTACATGACCTACAAACTTAAACGACGGACGTGCGGTAAAGACTGAATAGATCTTCCAGGAATATGCCCATTAAGACAGGATGGATGAAGACTGCGGTGACTTCTTGGCAGATCTTGCATGCGGGGACACGTTCTGAGTACTATAGTGAACTAACAGGGGAACTCGCTTGTTATCATTGGTTTAACAATTTTTTGTATTGAATTGTTAAGCGCCTGCATTTTCTTTCGGAGCAACGAGTCAAATAACATAGTCATATTAATGACGTCAGTAGATTAAATTAATCTTAAACTGGTTCTTTGTGCTTAAAATATTTCATTACCCTCTCAACTGTTCGTTCAAGTTAACATTTAAGTTGCTTTATTTGAAAATCCTCTTATACTCCCGAACACAAGCGATCCTAAATTAAATTAAAAATTTCTAAATGAGATCCAGAATTGTTATACGATCCAGTCACGCTACGTATTATGTTAGTTCTGCGAAGCATTTTGCTAGTTACAGATGAGTGCATTCTAGTCTAGTCACATACGATAATATAAATTAAAGAGTCGACGCAAAAAATGTTTTACTTCCGTTATCAATAATCACATTGTCGTACAAAATAGTGGGGCGAGTCTTCGACGGTTAATCAACTATTAGCTGTATTATTTCAGCTTGCCAATTTGTTTAGTTATGAAGACCGATTGGGTTAATAACAATTGTTATTAACAATTAATTTAGGAACATGGTTGCTCAGAGGTTAGCGCTTGCTGTAAATTTTACAGTACGCGAACAACCGCGTTCGATCTACTGGCTGCAAACAAATTGTTAAATATAGTTTCAAATACCCATTTAGTACCTAAACGGCGGTG